CACGCCTTTTTTATTTCAAAATTACTTTAGTTCAGGTGTATGTATGAATGGGCTGATTTGAGAAGATGGGCCATAACATCAGGGTCGAACATATTTCCAGCAGAGCATTTTGGTTTTAATCTAAATGTGCACATTTCATGCTTTTATAAATTTAATCTTTCTTCACAAATAAATGTGAAAGAAACAAAAACGAGAGGAGATTGGGATTGAGTTTTGGGAAGTTTCATGATCCTCCGATTCATCTAATCTTAGAGGGGAGCTTAACCCTTCATGGCATGTATTAAACATTCTTGCCACTGGCACATAACACTTGCTTTTTTCTCTTGAAAAAAAAAAAAAAAAAAAATTTCCATTGATTTGATTTGTGTAAGCCTGCAAGTCAGGTGAAAATGGAGAGCTTTTTCACTGATTTGATTTAGTCCCTTATGTTTCGTTTGGTATGATAGAAAAATAGAAGGATGAAAAGTTAGAGAGGTAAATAAAACAGCATGTTTGGTAAAGAAAGAAAATAGGAATGATAGAGACGTGGATGAATTTAACTTTCCTTCTAACTTATCAAAATCAATTTCTCTAAAATCGGAAAGAAAGTGAATGAAAAGTTAATTATTTGTATTAAGATGTATCTTATTTATCTATATATTATGTATACATTAATTTCATATAAAAATATAATGATAAAATATATATTTATATATATATTAAAAAAAAATTTAAAATTTAAAAAATAAAAATTTGAAATTAAAAAAAAATATTTTTTTCATCTTAACTAAAGATGAAAAATTTCGATTCAACATGATGACGTGACTCGAACTTGACATGAATTTTATGACACAAACTTAAAAATGACCTGACACAAACAAAAAATATAATAGGTTCACAATTTTATGACGCAATACAAATTTGATATAACACGACTCGATTGTCACTCGTAATCTTAGCCAGCACAAAAAAAATTAAAAAAAAAATTAATTATTTTTATTTTTCATCCATTCAACCAAGCATAATGGAATATGAAAGTGTATCATTCTTATTTTCTATCCTTAAAAGAAAGAAAGTGTATCCCTCCTATTTTCCATCCTTCTTACTTTTCATTATTTTTACCAAACGGAACATTAGTCTCACAATGCTCTTTCCATTCAGAAAACAAATGGAGTTCAACACACATTCACATTGAATCCAATAAAAAGATGGAGGGCTTAGTTGAGAGACATTCTTTTAAGAACTAAATTATGAGTATAGTTTAGGAGTTTAATCGGCAATTTATTCTGTAATAGCAATTTGAAAAAATTGAGTGGAGTGCCTACTATGAATTTTAATATAATGTAGGCATGATTTTTGATTCTTTAGTAGATTTAGGGGCTCCATTTTACTTTCTGCAAGAGCACCTTTGGTTTACTCACAACTCCCACACAAATTTAGAGTCCTAATATGGGCCAGAATGAGCTTCAACTGGGGTGGTTTTGGGCTAATAAGCAAACAATGTGAAACGTTTCCAATAGTACAACTGTCAATCGTGTTAGTTGAAGCAGGTTTTTGTCAGGTTTTAACGATTTCGTGTCAAAAAATATTCTGTTAATAACCGATTAACTTATTATTTGTGTCTAACAAATCATATCATATCAGATTTGTATTGTATATTAATTATATATAACTAATATTTAAACGAGTCATGTTGTATATTTATTTTGATTGACTTTATTCATACCTAATTTGTTTGTCAAACAGTTTGATTCAATTCAATACTTAAATTTCAGTGGATACCAAATAATTTAAGAATTAAAAATTCACTATTCAGCACTTTAAATTTCACATTTAGTTTTCAGCATTCAACTTTCAATTTTATCAAACACTGCCTAACAACCTGAAGGTTGTGAATGAGACACTTCAATGATTGTTTTGTAGCATGCTTCACTATTGTCTTTATTGGTGTAATTTTTTTTTAAGTTTTCTTATTTTTTTTTTTGGTATAATGGAAAAGTAAGAAGGGTTCTAAAAGCTTTAGCAAAAGGGATACATGAATAGTCATTCAAAAGAAACTGTCCTAGCACAAGAGGTGAGATGTCAAAATACACAAAAGGTTCTTGTTGTTGCCCTCCCAAGCTTGCTATCTCAAGTTTTCTTCTCTCAGGGTGTGGAAAAAAGGGAGTATTAGTCAATCCCATTATGTTCTTGCAATTATTGATGATATTTCTTTCGGGGTAGAGTTCCTCTAACCTAGCAATGATTAGGGTTGAGAGCTTCCAAAGTATCAATTATATGACCATCTTCTTGAGGTTTTGTGTTTGTATAATCTTGAGACCTTGATAAATAGTCCACAATTCAGCTTTGTAGGCTTGTGGAATCCTTTAGTTTGCCATAGAATCCTAGTTGCCACCTTCCTTGATCATTCCTTATCAGTCCTCCTATTGTGGCTGGGCCAAGGTTCCCTTTAGAGCTGCCATCAACATTCATCTTCATCCATCCTGCAAGAGGAAAAGACCAATCAATGAGTTTGGTGGGATTAGGCACCCCTTGGGTTTTGGGTTTATTGAAAGCATCCCATGAATCCAGGGCTAGTCTCTAGGCTTTCTTACCAATAATTTTTTTGGGGGGGAGGGTGGGTTATTCGTGTTTCCCAAACATTATTGATTCCTATCTTTCCAGATATTCCATACCAGTGATGCAAATAGCACTGGCCATTTCACTACTCTCCAAATTTTGTTGTTTCTGGCTTTATACTTTTTAATGAGCCAGTTTTGAAGGTCAATGGCTTGATCCTGTTGGATGTCATTCCTATTGAGAAAGGATCTCCATACAAGTTCAGTTTTAGGGCAATCCCTCAAGATATGGATTGTGGTTTCATTATGGGACTTTCATCTCTCACAAGTAGGATCATTAGTGAGATTTCTTGTAACTCTCAGGGAATTAGAAAGGAATATGTCACCTTGGACCAACCACAAAAAATGTTTGAGTTTCTGTGGGATCCCAAGTTTCCAGATCCAATTCCAGTTTAACCCATGATGTTGACTTGGTTCAGGCCTAGAAGTCTAGTTATAATCAGATTTAATAGAGAATTTATCATTACTTGTAAGGCCCCCAAGATAGTATAACTTGAAGGGAATCGTCCAATGGTTGTGGTGTGTGCAAAAGTTCAAAACTAAAATTTTAGGGGAGACACATACCTTTTTACTGGAGATTCTAGTTACACGTGGAACTTATGATCTCTGCCATTGTGCTACTAGGGTCAGCTGTTTTTGGGATCTGTATCCTTCTTTGGAGTGGACTGTCACCTATCCACCAAACATTCCATAGGGAAACCTTTGAACCATTACCAATGAGCTATTTTGTATTTTTCATTATAGTCTAACTAGTTTTTATCAAACCTCTCCATATTGGAGATACATTAGATTTATGTGGCCATTCTTTCAATGATAGATTCATATATTTCTCTTTTACCACTCCAACCCATAGGGACTTACTCTCATTATGCAATTTCCATCCCAGCTTAGACAAGATAGCTAAGTTGTTACCTCTACATTTTCTNAGATATCTATCATGAACTAATTACATAAATTTATGGTCAATACCCATAGTAAATATTTGAAGGCATCTTCATGACGTTTGATTGCACAATAATAATTCTATTATTTGGATATTTTTACAATCACATGGTCACTGTTTGGATTGATTAAGTCAATGTTTGACCAATTGACATTTATTATTGTTTTGACAATTTTGGGTCAAATTTAAGTTCAATTAAGACTCATGAGTAGTCCATGTAAAGATAGTTGAGAGTCCCACATGATGGAATATTTTGTTTATGATTTTATAATCATGTTATCATGTGGAATATAGATCATCTGTCTAGGGTGAAATATACATGAAATTTTAATTTCATAACTCTTGAGAAATTACATAATTATATTCATAACATATATGCATGTTTGTTTTAAATTTAATTAGGATGATTAAATTAATAGACCTACACATATGATATATGCCTTTTATGGTGGTGGGTCATACCTTTAGAGGCTATGGAAGACCCGTTAAATGGTCGTTTAAGGAAACATAACTAATGTAGATATCACGCTCTGCCAAAAGCTAACTGACCTATAGAGGTTGTGTTTTCCTTGAAATTTAAGAATTAAATCTCATTAAGACCACAAGGTGCATTAGCTTGAATAAAATGTCCAATTCTACCAAAAGGTGATTTGGATATTTTGAACAAGTTGAGTGAATAGAATGGTCAACAGTATGATAGGAAGATTAGGATAACCTTCTTGCCAAAAGGTAGTGGAAGTTTCTGAATCAAACTAAAATACGTTGATTAGGTCTATGCACGCTTGACTATCGGGACCCTATGTGATTAGGTCTATGCACGCTTGACTAGTGTGACCCTAGGAGACTAATAACATGTCAAAATTTCTACCAAAAAGTGAGACTAGATGATGTACCTTGTCTATTCCCGTAGGGTAGAAAGTTCATGCATAAAAACAAAACACCTTGATCAGTCTAACTTAGCCTTAAGAATGGATTGAAACATTAAAGTTTTTGTCAGTGATTATGTTTCTTGTCAATACAACTATAAATAATACTTCAATCCATAAATAAGGGATAAAGTCGCTAAATGATTATAATTATTCCAACTGGCATATGAACATTGACCTCAAGTTGGGATCTAAAGATTATGATTTTGTATTTAATGATGTACCTGAGGCTCCGAAGGAAGATGCTATGAAGCTTGTGAAGACCTATTATGCCAGGTGGAAGAATTGTCAATCATATGGTCATGATGATCATTTGGGCCTTTATTAATGAGTTTCTATAGGAGGGCATTAAGGTGACTATACTGTAAAAGAGCTTATGTCTGTGATTAAGACATACTTTTCTCCAATACGACTATCTGTCCAAACTGATGAGCTTCAAATATGACGGAATGGGAAAGTTAGGGAAAACTGTTTAAAGATGTCAAGGCATCAATTGGTTTGAGAAGCGTGGTATCAATTTTAAGGATGATTTTTAATTCAAATGGCATCACTCTTATTGTATAGATATTTTGATACATTCAAGGTGATTTTATAGCTTAAGAGACCAAGTGGAGCCTGCACTAGCTTATCAAATTATGTGTGACCGAGGAAGAATGTTTGAGGGGTTCTAGAATAGAGTGATCATGTTTTGGAGTTCATCTAATTGAAATGAGGATATTTAAGAAGATAAGATTTAATAAAAACAAAAATAAAGGAAAGGCTTCCATAAATAAAGAAAATCAAGGGAAGTCAAAAGATGTTGATTGCTAGTTCAACAATAAGAATGTCCATTTTAAGTAAATATTGTTTCGAATACATGAGTTAAGAAGAAGAGATGAGTGGTTTAGTAGTAGGAAAAACCTTAAGCTCAAGGACAAATTATTTCTCCAAAATGAGCATAAGATAAAGCTCGAATCCATTGGGGCATGTTGACTTCTATTACATTCTCATATTTCCTTTTATGATTTTAGATGACACCTTTTATATCCCATCATTTAGACAGAATTTGATTTATGTTTCAGACATGATGTAGTTGATTATGATTTGTCTTTTAGGGATTCTTCATTATTTTTCTATGATTCAACCATTATTGGTCATGGTTTATTATGGGTTACACATCTCCTCTCTTACCTATATCACTAAATTCTTCTAGCCTTAAGTGCTTTCATCTGTTGGGGTATTCATAAATGTTTGGCATAAGAGACCATGCCATGTTTCTAGAAAAATATTGGAGTTATAATTTAAATAAGTAGTTAAATAGGAAGAACAAAGATGTTCGAATAGATAAAGTAGGATAGTATTGTGGTAGAATGGATAAGGAAGGTATAAATCATGGAGAGTTTCTAGAGTATTTAAGGGAGTAAGACATAGTTCCCCAATACACCATGTCAGGAACACAAGACCAGGATGGTGTGTTCAAAAAGGAGAAACTGCACCTACCAAGATATTGTTTAGAGTATGATGAGTCATTCTCACTTATGGAGTTCCTTGAAAGGCTACACCTGAGACTCCATAAAAATATAGACTAGTAGAAAACCAAAATTTGATCACATTCATGTTTGGGGATGTCTTGCTAAGGCCAAGTTATATAACATCGAGATAAAGAAACTTGACCATAGGACCATCTCTTATTATTTTATTGGATATCTCAAAATGTCATTGGAATATAGAATTTGTTATCCATCTAGACATATGGAGATAGTTCAGACTAGTCATGTTAAGTTTTTCAAAGATGATCATGTTAATGGGAGTTTGAAACATAGGAAAATTAATTTCCACGAAGATAGGGGAGCATTCAAATCTTTAATTTTCCTGCAATTCGTCAGATTCCTACAAATATTTCGATCTCTCCCACAGTTAAGGAAGAAGTAGTTGTGCCTCCGATTCCTCAATAGCTTGTTGCCCCAGTGGTGGAACCCATTCTTTCAAGGAGATCTACTAGAGTGCGTAGATTAGTCATACCTGATGAGTTTGAGGTTCACTTCCAAGAGAATGAGTTGAAATGACTTGATGTAGATGATCCATTGACGTTTGAAGAAGCCATGAGAAGTAGTGAATTTTACCATTGGATCCTTAAGGATTATTCTTGTCATTGTAACTCATTATGATCTTACTTATAATTTAAGCCAATTTATAATTCTTATTCTCTATGTGGATGACATCTTACTTGATAGTAATAACATTCATATGCTCCATGACACAAAACATTTCTTATCAAATAATTTTGATATGAAGGATATCAGTTCTTATTTAAATTCTACTCTTGTTGTTGAATGCTAGCAATGGCAATAGTGTTTTTATCTTTTATTTTATACCTGGGTATTTATTTGTGCATATGCTATGAGATTATAATAGCCTGAGAATATGTGATATATTCATGAGGTATGCATGCGAGGGATATGATTAGGCAACATATCGGTAAACCTTCATTCTGATAGGTTGGTGAGGGTTTTAACATATGCTGTAATATATCAGAATGACACCCTACAAGTGTGAAGCATGATGGACACATGAAATGAATGCTTTTGATTGCATGAGATGTGTACCTTTTTTTGTTATCCGCTTCTTTACTAAGACCACATAAAGTTAAACTCTCAATTCTACTAATGACATTAGCTTTGAGACCATGAAACTGTCTTGGAGTCAATAAATGGAACTCCAAAACATTCATGATCCATGTTAATGTTGGTTTTAGTATTGGGTGAAAGTTAAGGCAATGTCCAAATTGTTTAGGCAATTGTTTTTCAAAAACTAAAAAGTGGCTACTCGATTTTAGATGTTATTAACCCATGTATGTTGTTTTCAAAATTATAACTTTATATGTGTGGATCAAGTGGGAAATTGTTGGAACATTTTTTTTATTATTTAATTTAATTAAAACATTCCTATTGGTCATACATATTTGGTATTTTAATCATGGGTTAATGGTTGTCTAACTCAACTAAGATTATGTAACTGTATTAGTTATACTGGGGTCTAGTTTCCCTAAAGATAAGGAGTGTAAGTCTACCAATCTCTTAGGACTTCTTTGATGGATAGATGACTAGCAGATAAAGTCCTATATATATGTGGTGGTCATCCCCTTCTCAATGCACTTTTAACGTATCAGCTTTCCATCACTTGTGTGCATTAGAGACTGGGGTAGAGCACTTCATTCTTCTCTTTAGGAAAATAAAGGGTCAATATCGTGATTCACGATTTACAAGTTTGTCGATTTCTTTATTTAATTATGATGAATATTAGATTTGATTATATAGAATACTCTAGATGCATATATATTAGTGTTTGATAAAATCCAACATACCCAACCTTCAAGATCTCCCAAGACTAGCCAGTCCGACAAGAAATAGCGTCAATGGCGATCCATCCCATCCTCAGCAGAACAAGGATGCTCAACAAGACCCAAATAATCCACATCAACCACAAAGAGTATGGGAACAAGAAAAAGTGGCTGATAACTCTCTTGGTTGGGGAGACTAAATGAGAGACTTTTGGGCTCAGTTGGGAGATTTGAAGTATGTTATCACCAACAAAGCTGTTCCAGCCACCAAAAGGGAGGAAACCCCCTTCTCACCTGCTATAGTGACATATTTGTTGCCACTTGTTTCTGAATTCCCCAGATGGAAATCTTTGAATGAAGCAAAGACCCACTCGATCACCTTCAAAACTTCAGAGACTTAATGACGTTGCATGTCTTCCCTGACGAGATCATATGTCGAGCATTCCATAATACACTAATTGGAAACACTTGCATATGGTTTAGCAAGCTACCACCACATTCTATTGCCACATTCTCCCAATTAAGCCAATCTATTGTGTTTCATATTGTTGTGGACAAAAACATAGAAAACCTGTCACATACCTATTGAACATTAAGCAGCAGAATGATGAGTCCTTCAAAAATTATATCACTAGGTTCATCAATGAAGCCTTACAAGTAAAAAAACTTGACAACCAAGTTTCCCTCACTGTCTTCCTAACAAGAGTTAATACCCCCACCTTTGTTTAATCCCTAGCCAAAACACCTCCAAAGACCATGGTTGATCTCCCTCTTAAAGCCCAGAAGCACATGAATGTCGAATTAGTGCTAGACAAGAATCCTTCTCTATAAACCAACCTGAAAAGAGGAAGGCTAACTCATCCAAAACAATTGCCTAGCCATATCCCAAAAAGAAGAAAACCAAAAAAATTGAGCCAGAAGATAAAACCCCAACTGTCTGCTTTGATAAGTACACACTTCTTAATACCCCATTGGAACAAGTGCTCCTTCAGGTGGAGAATGATCAAATCTTTAAGTGGCCTAAAAAGCGGTCTCAGTAGAAATATTTCCATTTCTGTCGCGGTCATGGCCACCACATCGAGGAATATAGAGATTTGAAAAAGCAAATTGAATCCTTAATTCGATGAGGAAGATTTTCGTAGTTCATCTCAAATGATCGCAAAGACAAATAGAAGATGGAAGAAGAAAGACATCCGAACGATGGGAACCGAGGCCACCAAGACCCCATTGGCGAGATCAGGGTCATTGCAAGGGGATTTGTTGTTGGTGGTGAGTCCTCAATGGCTCAAAAGAATCATGTCCGCAAAATCAGAACGACGACAGAGGTCTACAGCACCCAGATGGAAGATTGACCTTTGAAAAATGCAAGAATAGAAGAGTCACTCTCATTCTTCGACCAAGATTTGGTGGGAATCCAGGTCCCTCATGATGATCCACTGCTAGTATCTGTGACCATTTCCAACTTTAAAGTTTGAAGGGCCTTGGTGGACAGTGGTAGCTCGGTCAACATTCTCTATCTGAATGCATTTGAACAGCTCGGTATCAGTATTGGATGGCAGTCAACTCTCCTCTATTGGTTTCTTAGAAGAAAGAACCTTGCATTTGGGTTCTATCTTTCGCCCAATCACTACCTTGACAATCCACTACCATGGTTAATTTTTTATCATGGACTCACCCACTTCTTACAATGCCATCATGGTATGACCATCCATTAATGCTCTTCGAGTTGTTCTCTTAACTATCATCTGATGCTACAGTTTCCTACCCTAGGTGGTATAAGTCAGATCAAGGGTGATCAACTAACAGCCAAAGAGTGTTATGCATCTTTGACGAAAGAAAAAGCCCCAAAAGAAACCCTTTAAATTGATTTTTTACTCTAGGGAAGACGATCGAAGGAGATCTCTGACAGAAGACCTAGAAGAGTTGGCCTTGAATCCCGCAAAGCCCCTGTAGACTATCAAGCTAGAAACCCTGCTCACCTTTGAGATCAAAGAAAGACTCCTAAGGTGTTTCAGTGCAACCCAGGATATCTTCACTTAGGACCACTCTAACATAATAGGCATAGACCTAGAAGTCATCACCCATCGACTTAATGTCGATCCCCAACACAAATCGGTACAACAAAAAAAACATACCTTTGCTCCCAAAAGAAGCCTGGTGATCAACAAATAGGTGTCAAAATTACTAAAGCCGACCAAGTTAGGGAATCCAAATACCCTGAATGGTTAGCCAATGTCGTCTTGGTTAAAAAGACAAATGGAATATGGAGACTCTGTGTTGATTTCACTGACCCCAGCAAAGCATGCCCTAAGGACATTTATCCCTTGCTAAGGATTGACACCCTCATAGACGCTAAAGCCGGACATAAGATCTTTAGTTTCCTAGATGCCTACTCAGGATACAATCAAATCCTCATGGATCCCACTAACGAGGAGAAGACATCCTTTATCACTGACCGAGGTATATTATGCTATCGAGTAATGCCTTTTGGTCTAAAGAATGTAGGATCAACCAACCAACTACTGGTGAACTAGATGTTCAAGGTGAAAATAGGCAAACCATGGAGGTCTATGTAGAAGATATGTTGGCCAAGAGTCTCCAAGCCAAACTACATGTCCAACACCTGGAGATACTTTCCAAATCCTTCTAAATATACTTTCGGTGTCACCTCGGGAAAATTCCTGGGTTTCATAGTCATGAGCCAAGGGATCGAAGCCAACCTAGAGAAAATTGTCTCCCTAAGAAACATGAAATCACCGAAATCCACCCAAGGAGGTACAACAGCTAGCAAATAGGGAGGCAGGCCTGAACAAGTTTGTTTCTCGAGCTACTAATAAGTGTCTCCCATTTTTTAAAATCCTCAGAAAATTTTTGAGTGGATGGAAGAGTGTGAAAATATATTTTCACAGCTAAAATAATACATGGCCTCACCTCTCCTCTTATCTATTGTAATCCTGGGGGAGCATATGTATTTATACTTGGCTGCTTCACTCATGCCTGTAAGCTTGGTTTTAGTTAGGGAGGAAGAACGGGTCGAGAAATTGATTTATTACACTAGTTGAGCACTCCAAGGAGCAGAAGAAAGATATCCGACCGCTGAGAAGTTAGCCTTTTCCTAGATTATTGCTATTAGGAGGCTAAGACCATACTTCCAATCTCACAAAATTATGGTGTTAACTGACTACCCTCTTCAGTAAATACCTCACAAACCAGAGACATTAGAAAGATTGATAAAATGGGTCATAGAGCTTGGGGAGTTTGATATTCAATTTCAACCCCGCCGAGCTATCAAAGGGCAAGTTGTAGTACAGTTTATGGCAGAATTCATTCCCTTAGAAGAAGAAAATCTCATCCCTCCAACTATAATGCTCTGCTCCACCATGACGGAGAAGCTTGAAAGTGGGGCTGGGCTAATCTTGATCTCACCCGAACAACACAAACTGGGGTACACCCTCAAACTCGATTTCAAAGTTTCAAATAATGAGGCCGATTATGAGGTTCTCTTTGCTGGACTGCACTTTGCCTTCGACCTCAGTGTACATCATCTTTGAGCTTAGAGCGACTCACAATTGATCGTCAATCAAGTTAATGACCAATACGAAGCTAAAGATGATAAGATGATATCATACTTGGTCAAGGCCCAATCTCTTATATTAATATTTCAGACTTTCTCTATTCAACAGGTGTCAGGGAGAGATAATAGCCATACAGATTCCCTTGTCAAGATAGTGTCCTCAGGGAAGACCATAGAGCAAAAAGCAAAAATATCCCCCCTAGAGTACTTGCATAGGCCCAACATTGAGCAAGGAGAACCGGTGACAAAAATGCTCCAAGCACAAGCGTCACAGTGGGTGGACCCGTATGTATCCTACCTAAAAAATGGCAACCTCCCAACAGAGTGTTAAAAGCCAAGAGGTTTCTCTTAAAAATGGCTAAGCATGTGCTCATCCAAAATTTTCTCTACAGATGAAGTTTATCTCTCCCATACCTCCGTTGTTTAGGGATAGAGGAAGCGAACTATGTTCAAAAGGAGATACACGAAGGCATTTGCGAAAATCACTCGGCAAGATAGTCACTCTCCCATGAGGTGCTACAACAAGGATACTACTGGCCCACGATGGCTAAGGATGCACTGGCATTCATAAAAAAATTGTGATAAATGTCAAATATTTGCAAATATCTAGCATGTCCCCTCATAGGACCTTAGCTCGATTTTCATCCCCTGGCCTTTTGCACAATGAGGTATCAAAATTGTGGGACCCCTGCCGCAAGGAAAGGGTCAATGTCGCTTTGTGGTGATAGCTATTGATTATTTCACCAAATGGTTGAAAGCCAAAGCACTAACCATAATTTCTAAAAAGAAAATCATAGATTTTGTATGGAAAGCCATTATATGCCGATTTAGAGTCCCGTAAGCCATTGTCTTTGACAATGGAAAATAGTTTGACTCAAATGATTTTTGAAGTTTCTGCTCCAACCTCATAATAAAGAACCATTTCTCCTCTCTGGGACATCCCCAATCAAACGGAAAAGTTGAAGTCACCAATTGCACGCTACTTTAGAATATCAAGACCAAGTTGGAAGAAAAACAAGGTCTATGGGTTGACCTCTTTCATGACAATCTATGGGCATATCAAATAACACCCAAAAAATCCATATGAAAGAGTCCCTTTATGTTGGTGTTTGGTATTGAAGTAGTCATTTCATCAAAGATAGGCCTTCCGTCATTTAGAACTCAACACCATGACCCCTGAGTTAACAAAGGGGCACTAAGAGCAAACCTCATTGCTTGGAAAAAACCTGAGATCACATTGCTCTTTGTATAGCCTTCTACCAGCAGCAGATTGCTCGCTATTACAATAAGAGAATGAAAGAGAAGAAGCTAAAAGAGGGAGACCTCGTGCTCAAAAAAGAGTTAGTAATAGAAAAAGGCAAGTTATCCCCAAATTGGGTAGGCCCATAAATCGTCATCAGAGAAGTCCGACCAGGAACTAATCAATTAAGGAACTCCCAAGGGAAAATACTCCCTCACTCATGGAATATTGAGTATCTTAAGAAGTACTATGTATAACCAGCTTCTTGTTCAGATTGTAATGAAAAGTTCAATATTCTTTTACATGCATACCTTATTATAAAAACCCTTCAAAGCGAGATCCAACTGAGGCGAAAACCCTTCAAGGCTAAAATCTTCCAAGGCAAA